GACAGGAGCCTCTCCCACCTCCGTGGCAGCACTAAGAATGTCCAACTAACGGTTTAGACCCAATCCCTTGGGGGCCTAAGCCTTTAGTCGGACATCCCCCGAGGGCTCCCTGGCTGCCAGAAGGATGTCTGACTGCAAGCTTAGGCCTGATCCCCCGGGGAGTGGGCCTAAGTCGACAGGTGGACATCCCCCAAGGGGTCCTGGACTGTGAATGGGCACAGGCCAGGCTGAGGGAACCGCCCCCCCCCCCAGTGCAAACATTTTTGTGCACCAGGCCTCTAGTATGTAATAAAGGATAATTTCAAAAGTGATAAAATAATTTTTACATAATTTTAAAGCTGATTGAAAGTACATTAAAATGTCTTTGGAATAATAGTGAGAGAGCCCCTTTTCACTCTTTACTGTTCAGTCCAAACACTGACACACCCTTAGGAGAACCCAAAACATGAAAATAGACAAAGTCTCCAGCAGACATTTTCTTCTTTTTATGAGTAATTATAATTCATAACACCTTCATAAATTATAATCATTAGTAATTAAAAAATCTCAAAATAGTTCTGCAAAAATAAAGAAAACTAATACTTCTATTTTTCAGGTAGGTAGGGATGCATAATTAATTTTTCCCAGGATATTTTGTCGCAATAGGAATCATCAGTGACTCTTGTATCTTTATGATTCTATAGCATATCCAGATTAATTCTTCAGAAAATTTTAAAGTAACTTTTATAGAAATTCCTAACTGAAGATATTGTTTAAAATTTTAAACACTCAGAAGTGTAAGACATTATATAGAAGCCACTTATCTCAGCCTTTTCAATCTGTTTCTTTGAGCAAGGAGAACCACATTTGGAATTAAGTTTTCAGGCAGTCACCCATCTACTCACTACTAAATCAGAAAGATTAATGGAATCTCTTTTGACATAATAGCTATGCATTTAGAGACAGGATGAAGCAGAAATCATTACTGTTTCCATTTTTCTCCTCGTGCCCATTCTTAAAGAGGTGTCCCAATTTTGATTATCATATTTATACAACATCTACATAAGACAGAAACAACTTGTGCCTCCTAATATTAAAATACAATAACATAAGCATTGCTAATGGCATAAAATAATAAAGAATTCTTAATAAATACCATGCAGTCTTTTTCTCCTTTCAACTCAAGATCTGAAAGAATTCTAACCAGTGTAATACTGTCAGTTTCAAAATCATAATTCACTACTTTCTCAGAAATGACACATTTCATATAACATGTTTCACAATTCCTTTCTGAAAGTCTCTAAAACTGTCCTATATCCTCAGCCCCTCAGCCTAAAAGAATAAAAAAAAATTCTTTATTTCCCTGGATGTTCAGCTTAGTAAGAGCTTTGAAAGACTATACTAAAATATAAAACTAACCGGATAGAAAGATACAAATAATGTATGGATTTTGCACAAAAGGACTGTTTGACTCAAAACAATGTTTAAATTTAAATAAAATTTGGTTGTACTAAGTCTAAAGTCATTCATCCTCATACTTCTGAAATGGTTAAATGAATATATTTTGTGTTAGAGCATTAGTAGTCTACTATGTTATGCAAAGTCGTCATTTTTGTTAATCTAAATAATTTTTTAGTTCACTTGTGAGAGAAAAATAAATAAATCTCTGAATGTGTATTGTCTTAAAATAATAGCCCATTCTACATTTTACATGGCAACAATTTACAGCCCCAATAAATGAGTTGCCATTTATTTTAAATAATACTTTAAGGGAGGAACCCCAGTTTAGAAAGTTTCATTACAATTAAGATCATAAAACAGTAGAAATTGTCATAAGGTCTGATAGTGTGAAGCCCTATCACAAATAAATAAATAAGTACTTTATTTTGGGTTTTGAATGTCACTGCCTTTTAACTGATGGCTATTTCATGGCCTTAGTCATCAGCTTAGAAAATAGAGGGTGAACATCACTATTCTAAATGCCATCATTTTCTTGTTCATCGATGCTCAATGTAGCTTCATTTCATTCTGTTCTCCATACTCAATAATTGTATACTAATTGTAAGAAATTAGAGTTATCCAAAGGTCAAAGGTGTATGGATCAAATGACATACTCGGAATATCTTTGAACACTGACACGTCTACTACTGGAATTGCAGTTGTGCTCATGCAGGTTCAGCAAATCTAACTGTTCCACTGTTCCCAAGGTAAAGCCTTCAGAAGGGTCACTCAACGTTAGTTTCATGGAGTCTAAAAATAAGAGACTGAGCCCAGCTGGCATGACTCAATGGTTGATCATTAACCTATGAACCAGGAGGTCACAGTTCGATTCCTGGTCAGGGCACATGCCCAGGTTGTAGGCTTAATCCCCAGTAGGGGGTGTGCAGGAGGCAGCCAATCAATGATTCTCTCTCATTATTGATGTTCTATCTGTCTCTCTCTCTTTCTCCCTTCCTCTCTGAAATCAATAAAAAACAATTTTTTAAAGAGACTGGCATATCCTTTAAAGGACCAATAACATCAGAATCCCTAACAGATTTAGTTAATCTAGCAGATTTAGATTCTGAAATTAAATGTTTCCTGTCCGTGTAAAGCAATTTATACAGATAAATTTTTTTCATTTTCCTTTCTTTATTTGGTTATTCACTCAATTATATTTATTGATTTGTTCATACTTAATACTTATGTGCCAGGCACAGTGCTATAGGCTTCATATGTCCTCTTATTTAACATTATGAGATGAGTACTAATATTATGTTCATCTATATATATAAAAGCCAAGCGACTAGAACAGTGGAACAACTGCAATGACCGGAAGGACCAGTTGTTATGACATACTGTGGCAGCCAACCGGCCCGATGGGCACCCCAATCGGTCCCTCCCCCAAACCTCCTGAAGCCCCTCCACTTGACCAGCCCTGCCCCTGATTGGCCCCACCCCACCCCACCCCAATCTGGGGCCGGTCGACCGGACCCCACCCATGCACGAATTCTTGCATGGGGCCTCTAGTATAGCAGATAAGAAAAATAGGACCTAGAAAGTATAAGTGATTGTGTTACAACTATTAGTTAACTGAGCTGGGACTTGAGCCCAGGTCTGATACCCAAATTCATACTCTCAATCTCTAGGGACACTAATATTGTGTGCAGGGCACTCTGCCAAATACTGGGCTGGATACAGGAATGAATAAACAATGATGTCTGCTCTTCTCTGGTTTATGACCTTCACATGGACTGGAGTCCCAACTATAAATAAATGTAAAAAAATTTCCCTCACTGTATCATACTCCTGACCTCTCCTTTTCAAGAGAAAGTACAGAAACATCTACCCAGACAATCTGCATGTTCATATGTTGACATTGTGTCAAATGCCAATCCAATCCTCTACTATCACCTCTACCTTTTTCACCTAACTGCATTATCAACCAAAGGACCAAATTAGAGATTTGGAATTATGTTTGACCCCTCCCACCCACTCAAAACCTATACCTGGTCTCACTTATTTTTTTGTAATCTACCTCTGAAACTTTTCACAACTCTGCAACTCCTGATTTCTACTATTTTAAACATCGTAGAGAGTTGATTTCCAAGACAAACAGGTCCTAGTCCCTCTCTGCCACTTAGACAAATTACATAACCTCTGTTCAAGCTACTATGTCTTTATTAGTTAAATATATAACCTATTGGAATGATGAGAGATTTAGAAATAGATATTTGAAATGGTTAGCACATATAACAGCTATGTTGGCAGTTATTATTACCATTGCCCTATTTTTAAGCCCTTGACATCTCATAAAATAGAATATCTGGTAAAAAAACAGGTGCTCAACAGATATCCATTGAAAGAATAAGTGGTTCAGGTATGTAGATTACAATTGGTATCTAGGAATACGTCCATTTAACCTAAGTAGTTCCCCCAGGAAATTCTCAAAAAGGTACCTGTTGGGATATTCTTCATAATAAACAGAAACGGATGATTTGCTACAAATTGGTTTGGAGCCAGGCTCATGATCACAGGGATTTGTACTCCTACAAAACAGAGACAACAGTTATTTAGATGTTCACATTAAAAGATCAGTAAAGAAACTTTTAAAAGAAAATATATCCATAATACTTTATGTTCTAGTAGACAGGGAAGGTTATCTTGTTTGAGGAGTTAACATGTGGAAAAATTACCATTTTCTAAATGCAGAGAAGTTTGAAATAAATTTAAAAGCCAAAGAGCAGAAGAATAAATATTGGATCATTCAGGGACTAATTCTAACTTCACATTTATGCTCAACGAAGAAGAAATCCAGATACTGGATTCAATTTAGTGAAAGCAGTTGAAATATTTCATCTTTAAATGGTAATTTTCTGCTCAGTTTTTATTTACATTATATGATTTATTCTTATAAGGTTTCAAGTCTAATTCCTGTGCAGATATGTTTGCACTTTATTTCTATTCTTCAGGCTTGTGTAATCACATCTGAGTTTAATTATTTTTTAACTTACCTTCCCAAAATTATTCTGTGAGCTAGGAGGATTTGTGCTGTCAGTGTGTAGGGAGGTTTTATTATGAGATTAGAAGCAGAGATTTGCTGCCTTAACAATTATTTACTATGATAATTTATACCATGCTGTTCTATTGTATCATTTGTCAATGTTTAGAATGGGTGAATTTGAGTGATTGAATTTTTTCTTTATAGATTAAATATGTCTATACTCAATTCAGATGTTTCCTTTACTAATAATACAATGATTTTTTCTTTATAGATTAAATATGTCTACACTCAATTCAGATGTTTCCTTTACTAATAATACAATGACTTTGTACAATTTTTTAGACCTATGAAAATATAATTTTAAAAATATATACCATGGCTTTAGAGTTGAAAAACAATTGTACAAAAAAAAAACACCAAAATGTTCCTCTTCACTCTTTGTTTGGGATGTGCAAATTAAACTGACAAAAACAGAGTAACAGAAGACATAGTTTATTTTTTTATCCACATAGGAATGTTACAGAAAAGAAGTAAATACTCAAAAAAGTGGCTAGGCTTGAGTGCTACCATACTTACAAAGGGTGGTAAATTGTGGGGAAGTGAATAGACAAAGAAAAAAAGGTTTGGACTTCTAGGGGTGGTAAGTTGTGAAAAGATAAATATATGGAGGAAATTAATGGTAGATAATGGTTATTCAGTAAGGCTTGTTATATAGACTCATTTTACTGCCAATTTCCATCTCCTGTGATAAAGGTGCAATTTATGCCCTGCTCTTAGGCAGATTAGAGCATGTAGAGAGCTTTTTTGGTATCCCTTGTTTCTCAATTGCCTTCAGTTTAAAATAACATTTCTGCCAAAGTAGCATGTTTTGGGGTGGCATATTCTGATCCGCTTCACAATAAAACATAAACTTAGCAACATGAAATTCATAGTACTGCCCTATCGGATGATCAGGGCTCTGTTGCCCAAATTACCAAGGAATACAGGCCCATGTCTGAATTAAAGAGATAATCAGAAAAGCACAGTCAGTATAGTATTCTCATGGGTGAATACTCAAACTTTTTTGTTCTTAAGCAACCCCTGAGCAGATGCCTGGAAGTTAACATACTCCCGATGACTGTTCTGAGGTAAAACACATTAGGGTTACTGCTGATTGTTACAGTCTCTTAGAGAACTCTAGACTTAAAGTGAGAGCCAGTGGACAATAGCAGAGAGCGTTCTGAGCATGAAGTTAGGAAATTGATTCAGTTCAAACTCTGCTGTAAATTGATAGTCTGACCTCAGGCAAGCCACTTCACATTGTTGGGCCTGTTTTTCACCAATATAATGAAAGGGTTAGGTAATGATCCATAATAACTCTTTTGGTTCTATGTAAAAGCAGCTGCAAAATGTGTCTACATGGAGAGTAACTTCATACCAATGCAAACTTTTGATTTTTCCAAGAAGTGAAATATTATATCCCCTCCAATGTAAGTTCCTTGAATACAGTAATGCAAAATCCTTCAGGAGATGACAAAGTGAGACTGCAGTGTGTCATACCCAGATGTCAAAACCTGTTGATACTACATTACAAATTATTTAAGAAATTCATATCTATCTATCTATATCTATATCTATATCTATATCTATATCTATATCTACATCTACATCAACATCTACATCTATCTATCTATCTATCTCTATCTATCTATCTATCTATCTATGTATACTAGAGGCCTGGTGCACAAATTTGTGCACCAGTGGGGTCCCTGGCCTGTGGGATTGGGCCAAAACTGACTCTCCGATATCCCCTGAGGGGTCCCAGATTGCGAGAGGGTGCATACGAGGTCAAGGGACCCCACTGGTACACAATCAGGGCCAGGGAGGGACGTGGGAGGTTGGCCAGCTAGGGAGGGACCGTGGGAGGGCTCCAGGGTGTGTCCGGCCCAGCTCACTCAGTCCCAATTGGCCAGAACCCAGCAGCAAGCTAACGTACTCGTCAGAGCATCTGCCCCCTGGTGGTCAGTGCATGTCATAGTGACTGGTCGACCAGTTGACTGTCTGACCCCTGGTGGTCAGTGCATGTCATAGCAAGCAGTTGAGTGGTCTTAGCATATCATTAGCATATTATGCTTTGATTGGGTGAACAGACAACCAAATGACCAGACACTTAGCATATTAGGCTTTTATTATCCTACTAGAGGCCCAATGCACGAAAATTCATGCAAGAGTAGGCCTTCCTTCCCCCAGCAGCCAGCACTGGCTTCCCTCTGGCACCCGGGACCCGGGCTTCCCTCCTCCGTCCGCCTGCAGGCACCCAAGACCCAGCTGGCTTCCCTCTGGCCCCAGCATTGTCAGGAAGGATGTCTGGAATGATGTCCAGAAGATTTCTGGTCTAATTAGCATATTACCCTTTTATTATTATAGATATGCAAATCAGCCAAATGGCAGAATGACCAGTCAGTGGGGGGCGGGGCCGGTAAGCAGGTGGTGCCAGGCAAGCCAAGGCGCATGTCAGTGGGAAGAGGGAGGGAACAGCTATGGGGGTGTGGCGGAGGGGTTATGGGAGAGGCCAGCACCATCCCCTGATAGGCCCATCTGGTCACCTCCTGCAGAGGGAGGCCAGGTGGCAATGGTGGGGTGATGGAGGCAGCACCATCTCCTGATTGCCTGTCTGGTCCTCCCCTGCAGAGGGAGGCCAGGCGGCAGCAGTGGGGTGATGGGGGTGGTGCCATCCCCTGATTGGCTGGCCCAGTTGCCTCCCGGAGAGGGAGCTGGCCTAATCCATCAGTAGAACATCCCCTGAGGACTCCTGGACTGTGAGAAGGCACAGGCCGGGCTGAGGGACTCTCCCAGTGCACAAATTTTCATGCACAGGGCCTCTAGTATATGGAAGGATATATATAAACTTGTAAAAATTTATCAATGTGGCAGTTTAAATAATACATATCTTTTATATATTGGTTAGAACCCAAATAGTCAAAAAAATTAAAATAGACATATGAGGGACTTGTTAAAGTTGCTTTTTTCATTTCTAATTGGATTTAAGGTTTTTTCCTTATTATTTTTAAGTATCTCTTATATACATCATAGTTACTATTCAAACTTCCATCTGTTCAAAGAAATATATCATAGAGGAGTGGTTTTCAAACTGTAATGTGCACACAAATCACCTGGAGACCTTGCATTTTTCTGATTCAGTAGGTCTGAACTTGGGCCTGAGGTTCTTTTTTTTAAAAAAAAAAAAATTGTATTGATTTCAGAAAGAAAGGGAGAGAGGAAGAGAGATAGAAACATCAATGATGAGAGAGAATCATGCCCCCCACCGGGGATCAAGCCTGGGCATGTGCCCTGACTGGGAATCAAACTGTGACTTCCTGGTTCATAGGTCGATGCTCAACCACTGAGCCATGCCAACCGGATGGGCCTGAGGCTCTACATGTCCAACTAGTTCCTGAGTGATGCTGATGCTGCTGGTCTATGCACTACACTTGCAATAGCAAATATAGGCTGCCAGCCTCTGCAGACACTAGTTCTCAAACCTGGAAGCACATTGGAAACAATCAGGGAAACTTAAGAAAATGCTGGAGCCTGGATCTTATCACCAGACACAAAGATTCAATTATTTTGGACTGGACACAGGATTACAGGATTTTAAAAAGCTTTCCAGGTGATTCTACTGTGCAGCTAAGTTCAAGAACCACTGCATGGAGATAATGACATGAATCAGTGACAAAAGACTAACTTGGTGGGATGGAAGAATGAAATTAATACAATTATATAAGAGTGAGCATTCCTGAACAACAATGATTTTATATTTGAATCTAAAGTTTTCTCTGCATATCCTATCTGCTAATTGACAGGTAACCCAATTTGCAAATAAACACATATCAATAGATGGGCCTCAACTCCTAATCAAATCTCTTCCCTTCCATTTGCATTAAGCTATGGCAGAGATGCATAAACACCTTATACAATCAATTTCTTTCTGTGTCCTATGGAGTTCTAGACAGCAGGAATGAAAAATGAGATCAAAGTCCTGCAAAAATGCCAGCCCCTAATGCTCATTGCCCCCTCCCCCAATCTTTCCTCCCAGCTTGTTGTGAAGCCCATTGTCCTACCGGTAGATGCTGCGGCTTCACTGCCATCTTCATTTATCTCCAAGAAAACTTGCTGCACGACTTGAGAAACATACAGTTCAGATGAATCTGTTGGAAAAAATGAAAGCATATTTAAGTGTTAAAATTCAGAGCCATGGCTTATTGGGTTCCAGGTTAATTACATTTTCAAGTGAACAAAGAAAAAGGAAATAAGAAAACTCTTTCCAAGTTAATTAATTTGCTAGAGAAAAAGGTGGTTTAGGTTTAGCTTTTGCAGAAATGATATAGAGACAGATACAGAGAGACCAAGCGTGGCCAAGATATAAAAGGTAAAGACAGAAGGGTGTACTCCTCAAATCAGATATCTCATTAAGTGAAATATTGAATGGACAGCATGGTCTATAGACAAGATGAAAGAAGCTTTACAGATTCGAATTAATCCCACCCTGTGTTTTCAACCTCAAAGCCACTTGTCTTTTAAATTCTGTATCAGTTTTGATCTAAGTTTAAAACAAAATTTACTTTTCTTTTACACCGGGGAGACTATGCAAGTCTAAAGCACTTCTGTGGAATCTGTCATAATATCACTTCAGAGCTATGCTTCAAAACCTGTCAGATTTTTCAGTGTAAGATGGTGTCACACAATGTTTTGTTCTGGTGTGGATACGGGCTGAGAGAGATGGCCCTCTTCTCTCTTTGTGGAACTGATGTGTGTGTGAAGTGTTCCTGGCACAGTGAGGATGGTCTCCTTGAGAAGGGGGAAGAGAAATCATGAGTTTCAGAAGCCATCCGCCATCCCGCTCCTACAACCTTCAGCAGCGAGACAGCTACATTCAAGGGTGACAAGAGGAGGAAATGGGCCTGGAAACTTTAAAAGGAAGGAGGAGAGGAGCTGGGTGTCCCTGAGAGAGAAAGCTGATATGATGCAGGTGGACTCCACCAAAACCACCAAATATGAAAGGGTTCATGAAGAGATACCTGAGCAAAGGGGGACTAGCTCTGCAAGCTTACGGGAAAGGAAATCGCCTCAGGCAAGATAGAAGTCCTCAAAGGGACATTTACATTTCACTAAAAATAAACTCCAAATCACTTGTGGTGATTGTATCTGGGCCCTGATTACTTTTTATCCTCCTCTACACTCCTGTCCTTATTTGGTAGCTCCAGCTACAAAGTGAAGGAACAAAGTCCTAGCTCTCCCTCTGCTTACAACTCCTTCCCAAACCTTTCCCTATTAGCTCTCATGTTATTCAGGTTTCGGCAAAAATGTCATTTCCTAATAACAGTCTTCCCTCACCCTGTCTAAAGATGGAGGAAAGGGCCATCCGCCTCATTGTGTAGATTAACTGACAAGCAGGAGAATGCGCTTTAAGGTCAGGGGGGAAAGGCGCCTTTTTTCTCCATGATGCCTGGAATACAACAGGAGTCACACAGAGAACACGGAGCAGAGGACCGAGGGGCCCATACCAAGAGCAAAGCCCAAACTGATGAACAAAAACAGATCCAGAGACAGAGAAGCATCGATCAGACTGTCAAACCTCAGAAGGAAGGTAGGGGAGGGTGGGGGTCAGGGGGAGAGATCAACCAAAGGACTTGTATGCAGGCATATAAGCCTACCAGCGGTTCTCAACCTGTGGGTCGCGACTCCTTTGGGGGTCGAATGACCCTTTCACAGGGGTCGCCCGCCTAAGACCATCCTGCATATCAGATATTTACATTACGATTCATAACAGTAGCAACGTTACAGTTATGAAGTAGCAACGAAAATAATTTTATG